GTGGGGAGTGAACTGGCATTCTCTGGTTGTGGTCGATTCCTAACGGAGGGATAATTCGGTAGCTCCACGATTGCCTCACCCTTTGTATTCCACCGGCCGGTCCATTGATAGGGATGTTGAGCTGAGCTGATGAAAAGAATTGGAGCAACAACGAAATTGAAAGCAGGGCAACCAGAGTGTATTCTCCCCTAGCGTTGATATCTGTTCTCCCTTCCCCAATGTTTACCGGTCATCATTCTTAGTTTCCTACTCATGAACGTTGGAATTTTTTTTGGTTTATAAGTACACTAACTAAATAGAAAGATCATTTGAATATACTGAACATATTGCTAAACTGGCTGGATGCATGGCCGTAAAACAATTAGTTTGCTCTATTTCCTATATAATCCCACCTCACTAACATAACATAATCTAAGGCTTTACTTCTGGTGGTTTCTACGTAAAGTCTAAACTCATGCTTTCATTTATCCAGCCCATTCTTTTATGTGGTTGGAATTTTTCACATATAACAACTATATTGCTTCATAATGACCACAACAATTTATGGCAGCTAAAAAATTTAAATGAAATAAAAATAACACAAACGCAACTAAAAGCCAAATAGTCACTCGTGGCGAAGCACGTGCAAAAAAACTAGTAGATAGTTACATCGTAGAATTCAGCCAGACCTGAAAATTAAATAAACAATTATTGTTATTATTACTGTAATATATATAATACTAGCATTGGGCCCGGCCGTTGGCCGGATTAGCTTTTTAAGTCAATTCATATTAGCTGCTATTGCTGTTATAATGTTCTGTTATTTATACATAAACACCATAAAATGAAGACACTACCACTTGATAACCCCTGGGAAGGAAGCAACCTTTTGGCTGCTATAGCATTACCACAATCAATTCCGAGATATTTCTGGCTTTCTACCATGAACATGCAGAAGTTGGCAGTTGGTGTCAAGTAACACAAATGCAAGTTGTTGGCATAAAGAACACGGACAGATGCAAGGTGCAGTGGTAATAAAAATACTGGCAATAAGTTGTTGCCACTTGCCACCATAAACACATAAAGCCTTCTATTTTGAACTTCAAATCCCATTTTCATAGTTCAGTGACAGCCAAAACTATAGTACAATTTCAAAGTCTGAATTTGATAATTACCAAACCATTCACAAACGCAATATGCTCCTATCCAAAGATGGCACAACTACTACATGCTCCCAAGAAAAACACAGAAAATCAAATTTGTCGCAGTGATAAATAAAACTATGTATAATATAAATTTCAAAACTGATAAGAACCAAGCCATTCACAAACACCCCATAGTTTGGAAAACACAACTACTCATAATATCCAAGCCTCCAAGTGAACAGCCTGCACCATTCTATTAAGCACCATCATGGTTGTCTCCATCTCATAAACATGAAGCAGTTTTGGTGTCATTTGCAATTTGACCAGATGGAGTCCCAACACAAAGGCAAGTTCAGTGGATCAATGTAAGACAAAAATTAGGAAGGGAACATAGAAATAAGAAGCAAAAGTGAAGACAATACTAAATAACCTCTGGCTAAGAATGAGGCTTCAGGTTGCAGCATCATATTTGTAAAAAATTGAGGTTCCTGCTGCCACAAACAACAAATGCAGTATGCCCCTATCCAAAAGTAACACAAATTATACATGCTGCCAAGAAAAACACAGAAAATCAAACTTGTAACAGTGACAAACAGATGAGCCATAAACTGGTGATATAATGAACTCACACAAATACATGCTATTTTAACTTGAATAACGATTCTCTTTGGAAAATGACAAAGCAACCATATACAATCTAAAAGTTCAAATACTGTAAAAACCAAACCATTCACAAACATCCCATAGATTGGAAATCACATTACTTAAAATACAGTTCACAACGTGGCCCTTAACTACACAAAGCTTCCAGGCTCCACCAATATTCACTTCCTTAGGGTCATAGTTGTCCCCATGCTTCCTTTTGTGCCTGGTTAAGGTTTTTCCTCAAAGAACCTCGGGACTGGGCGTAGTCTTGCTAGTTTCCTCAAGATAGGAGTTGTACTTATGTAGAGATAACTTGTAATCTAGCTCAATTGTCACAATCAAATTAGAGCGATAAGATAAATTGAAATGATGAAATTAAGCTGATACCATCTTTTTGCTATATGAAATGTAAGTTCCACGGATATATTTACCACTCACCCCAAGTGTATCATGCTCCACACTAATCACATATCTTGAGGGTTCAAGAAGTTAATCTGAGTAAGTTTAAAAGGTAATTTAAGTCTCAGGTTCACAACTTGCTGGGTTTGCGAGAATAAGCTAAACCGATTAGTTTGTTCACACTAATCAATTTAAGTTTCATGTTCACAACATGGAATTCATCATATGTACAATAATAAAAACAACCATTATGTAGTAAACAAAGCATATTAGAGAAGCTGGATATAAAGACATGATTCATAAATATGAAATTGATGTAATTAACCACTCAGTGCAGATAGTGTAAAAAATGCCACTTTAACATAAGTTCCACGCATTATGATCAGAGACATCACTCATATAATACTACTCATGCTCAAGAAACTTGAAATATTAACTCTATAATTTGTCAAGTATGCATCTGTAATATAATCCATTGGTAAGATGCATTGTGTTGGAAGGTAATTATTAAGAGTTCCTTTGAGAGTCTCATCTCATAACACCAAATAAGCCTAACTTTATGCATAATTGTGAAGGAAAAATATATGAATCTTCTGCACTTATTGTGAGCAGGATTTCCCATCGGCCACTCTGTTCTGGAATCTTGTAATTCAATCACAATTAACCGTTTAAGTTCTCCCATTATTGTCATTAGTAATTAAGTGTTTTTAGATTATTGGTGGTTAGTGATGAGAAGTACCAAATGGAAGAGACAGGGTAAAGGATCCAAAAGAAAACGACTGAGAAGTTAGGAAAAGGTTAAGAATCACATAGTGACCTGAGATGTTTATCTGGATTGTTAAATTGCATCAACTAAAGCATTGTAGAATGACTCAATAGCAGGGATAAGCAAAGGGAAAGACCCATGTTAGTATGGCAGTTAAGCTAATAGAAGAAAAAAAAAGAATCTTCATACTTTGAACACCTGTTCTTATCTTCATAGTAAAAATTGGCTTGAGACAAACTAATCAGCTCTCAATTGACCTTAACATAAAGATAACTATTTATGATCTAAAATTAGTATTGACCTCATCACAAAACAAACAATTGAAAATTGACAACAAAGTGCACGGGTTCATCAGGTTCATCGTGATTTACCTCACGAAATAAGTCTGCTAAGTCGAACAAAACTTAAAAGTATGCCCATTTTAAGCTACAATCTTAAAAGTTCTCAAGCTAGCAAACATAAACTTCCTATCAGTATAAGGTAAGTCAAAGGCAGAGAGAGACACAGTTGGGACTGAAACAACACGTATTCCATAAATCCTTCATGTCACCAATACAAACTTCCTTCTCATCCTAGTTAAAGTAGCAAGATGACCATTCACGCTATTGAGGGGGGCATTCAACTTGTCAATAACTCAAAATAAGAAGCATCGCAACTAAGAACAGCTCTTATGTACATAAAATCAATGGTAGACAAAATTGACATTCACTTACCACCCTCAAGACACGCCCTCTCCGTGTTGAATTCAGCTAGTGTTGACCTTCAAGCGAGACATATTGCCCTTCCTTTCCGTAACAAAGACACAATGGAGCACCCAAATCAAATAAGTTACAATTTTAGTGCATTTATGACATACAATCTCAGAAAAACATCAAACTAAGAACAGAATGAATATATTAGATCGAGCAGTAGCAGAGTTATAATCTAATGGAGGATTTTTTGGTCTAGAAGAAGTGTCAACGCAGCGACGTTTCATTGGCATTGCTGGAATTGCCGGACTAAATTGATGATAGGAATTAATACGGTATGAAACTGGAGTAAAGCACACATTATTCGAACTGAACAGTTAACATTTGGATAGATTGCCCAAAAGGAAAAAGAGAGGGGACATTGCACATACAGACCCTCAAAGCAAAATAGAAAGCTTACCTAAGGGAATCTACAGAGGAGAATACATAGATTTCAGGCAGGCACAGTAGCAGTACGGTGGGGAGCGATCTGTAGACCCTACGAGGGGAAATATACAGCGAGAGCGGGAGGGAGGCGAATGGAATCTCTTTTGGGAGGGCGGTGGGGAACGACTTGTCGCCCCCGGCGATGCGAGACAGACTGCAAAAAGCGAGAGGAGTCTGGAAAAGTTTTTGGGGGTGTGGAAGACCGACATAGATGATAACAAAAAAAAACAATAAGAAAATCGAAGAAGTACAGAGGGCGACGATGGGGAATTTCGGGATCAGATTGAGAGTGGCGGCATACATGTTCTGAGCTGGGGTGAATAGAGGCGGATTAAGGCTCCGAGAAGACTAAAAGGATTGAGTAATTGGTGTATGGATCGGTTGGGAGAGAAACAGAGAGAGAGAGGCGGTGGGATTTTCGGGCTGGAAGGTAGAATAGAAAGCGAGGAACAGATGGATTGCCAAAAGACGGGGAAGCCCTTCCGAAGTGTGCGGTATGTTGAGGAAGGGCTGACGTGGCCAATGCAATTTTTTGACATTGCCTTATAGTATTTTGTAGATTAAAACCCACCATCATTATTATGCTCTTGGCAATACGGGGATTAGCTTCCTTCAGGATCAAAGTATACAAAGTATAAAAAAAAACAAGAGCTCTACAGAGGATTAATCAAATGATTAGATTAGGAGGACTGTAATCATATGATCAGATTAGGGCTATACGATCTAGTTCTGATTCTGAAGCAGTTACCTATGAACAGAGACATCGAAAACCAGAACTGCCCAACAACAAACGAGGAAGAAGAAAAAAAACCAAGTAAAATTCTAGATGTTAACTAACTAAACCAAGCCAAAAGAATTCCTTGTCAGTGTTCATCGTTCACCAGCAACTCATCATTCTCCTTGATTGATTGATTGCGACTGGAACTCAGAACCATTCGCCAGAGTCCGGAGTAGCTCCGTCGGGACCAAGCACTTCTCTTTCGAATACAGCTTCTGCTGAATCACCGGCGACGTCACAAGCGCCCCCAGCTCGTTCTGTTAGTGTTGTGGTATATGATCCACGATTGAACCTCTCCCAACAACTCGAGTTATTGGGATCAACTGGTTCTTGACATGGTATCAGAGCCTGCGATCTGAGATCTATTGATCGTATTTCGCTGGTAATTGTCTGGTACTCATCGGCGCTGCTAGGGTTCTTCTTTTGGCATCATCATCAGGTGGATCATTCTTTTGTTTTGGCATCATCATCATCACGTGAAGAACTTGCCCAGGGTTCCGTGAAGAACTTGCCCAGGGGTTCATTCTTTTATCACGTAGCCAAACAAATCAGGCAGTTCATTCTTTTGGAGTCTTTATCAAGCTTTTTTCTTCGCCGTATTTGTCCGCTGTCGTGTTTCCCTTGGTTGCTGCTCGGTTTCTTCTCTTCGCATCAGCCTGTCTCCTTCGTACTTCTTTGCGGCGGCTCCGTTTGCTAGTCTTGTTTTACCGAGTTACATCAGGTTGTCTCCTCTGTTACTCCTTTGCGCGCTACAACAGGTTGGTCACTCTTAGTACACCTCTGCTTGCTGTTTATTTCTTCCTTGATCCCAGCAAGATGGAAGGGTTTTCGGTCAAGTTCGACGGGAAGAATTTCCTACTATGGGAATTCCAGTTTCGGAATTTCCTTGAAGGGCAGAGGTTGCTTCCAATTTTGAATGGGCAGTGGCCTCGGCCTGCGGCTGGCTCTGCGGCTAAGGATATTGATGATTGGGCCGCAGGGAACGCTCATATTGTGACCTGGCTTTTGGGTTGTGTGGATATGGCTACAGGTCTTAGTCTTCGTCGGTTTACCGATGCTTGTGATATGTGGAAGCACATTTGTTCTACATATACTCAGAATGATGCATCTCGTCAATTTGAGCTTGAAACTCAAATTGCGATGATTAAGCAGGGTGATATGGATGTACGTTCGTACTATCAGGAACTTTCTACTCTCTGGACTGAATATGATCTCCTGACTGCATCTTTTGTTTCTACTGTGGCCTCTGCGGACATGTTGAAGGAACGGGCACGTTCCCGTCTCATGCAGTTTCTCATGAAGCTCCGTCCTGATTTCGAGCCGATTCGTGCTTCCTTGTTGCACCGACATTGGTACCATTGATGAGGCTCTTGCTGAGCTCATTCGTGAGGAGACGCGCCTCTGTAGCCAGCATCAGATCGATCAACTTTCTTCCTCTGGTGAGTCGGCCTTTGCAGTTGGTCGAGGTGGTTCGGGGCGTCCTCAATTTCAGTCGGGGGACACCAGTCAGCTCACATGCCATTTTTGTCATGAACTTGGTCATATCCAGCCTCACTGCAAGAAACGTAACATTTGCATTTACTGCAAACGCTCTGGGCATATTATCTTGGAATGTAAGTCATTGGCTCGACGTAATCGTTCTGGCGGGTCGTCCTCCGGTCAGCCTCGCTCTGCAGGGCTAGCCGATCGCCGTTCAGGGACTGGCTATGCCGTCGAGGCTGTTGCATCTCGATCCACTAGGGCTGCAGGTGGCTCGGGCTCTACTGCTTCCCCGCCACTAACTGCCGAGGTCGTGCGACGTCTGGTTGCCGATGTTCTCCAGGAAACTCTCCCCACTGCTCTCACTTCTGCTTTTTCCACAGGCGGTGTCTCAGGTAAATCGTGTTGGTTGCTTGACTCTACAACATTTGATCATATGACAAATGCTCGTTCTAGTTTTGCTTCTTTGAAACCTTCACCTGTTGTCTCTTTACAAGTTGCTAATGGTGCCCGTATTCCTGTGCATGGTATCAGAGCCTTCTGTGACCAAGAGGTCTTGTGTTCGATTCCTAGTGACCCCCTATTTGTTAAGCACATGGTATTCTTGTCTTCAGACTTGTGCAAACTTCAAGCCCTTGTGAGTGACTTTCGTTTGAGGAGGTGTGTTAGTGCTGTGGTATATGATCCACGATTGAACCTCTCCCAACAACACGAGTTATTGGGATCAACTGGTTCTTGACACGTTCGACACCTTAATTGGTTCCTGTTATCGTTTTCAGATCTCAATTAATCATCTGGGACAAAAACCCAGAAAGCCAAACGGCAGAAAGTTAAAAGCTTTAATTATTTCCCCCCTTTTTGGCAATACCTGAAGCGAGCCCATGGACTGAAGAATGCTGATTTGAGCCTCCAAGAACTTGACATGCTTGGCAGCAGCTTGGAACATATCAGCAGTATTCATCTTGTTCCCGCCAGGGATCAGCTTCCCTAGCTCCCGGGTCTTGTGCGTTATTCTCCTCCTCCTGTGCCTCGCAGCAATGCTCTGCGCCGATAACGTTTCGCCATTCCCATTGCTCTGTTTTTTGTTCACCTCCTCTGCTTCCTTGCCGCTCCTCCCAATGCTGAACCTCAGCGGCTCAGCTGGCAGTTCAAACTTCGGAACTGGCAACGGAACAACTGGAATGTCACCCAGATAATCAACCGTCGCAGGAGCAGGAAACCCGGGGAAGAGGGAAATGAGGTTGTGATTGTCGGAATCGAATTGGAACAGGGGCTCAGGAATTCCATAATCCTGAGGAGGGAAGAGGCAGTTGAATCGGAGCTGATCATGATCAAGTGCAAGCATCTCTGCGTCCAATTCCGCCGCCTCTGTTTCAATGAACGGCGGAAGTAGTGGGAAGGCGGCGGCGGCGAATTGGTAGTCCTCCTCGTCCTCCGGGGAATAGTTGAGAAAATGCTGCTGCTGATGGTAGCTGGAACACAAGCTTATATTGGGGCACAACGGAAATATGGTGGTATTTTAGGATCGACAATATTGGAAGAAATTATTTCACTTCAATATTTAATAGAACAATCTCTCATAACTCCGACAATTCTTGCCGTTTACATTAAGAGTTGTGGCTCTTATACTATTGCTCTGCTTCTACCCTCACAAACACTCAGCCCATAAATTTTTCCACATTTTGGATTAGGCAAGTTCATTGCCTTAACTTTTGAGAGGAGCCTATGCTCTCTAGCTCACTCTACCTTTCATGCCTCAATGAGGCTTTCTATTTATAATGTCATCCCAAGGTCTCCACCGCCATAAGGAAAGCTCTGGACACAATAATGAATTAAGTGGGTAGCTTTGACATGTGGTTGTGTTTAGGCCAAGCTAGCTGGCGGGTAGAGTAGGGTATTTGTAGTTTAATTATTAAAGGTAATTGGGTAGTTGGCTACTGCATTTAGAGTTTTGTAGAATTATTGAGATAATTGTAGAATTGTGGATTAGGTATTTTGACACCCCCTCTTAATCCGCAATTCATGGTTGTAAATTTTAATCACCCTTGACGCACGAGAGTGAAATATGATCGATCTCTTCCTCTTGAGTGAAGTTTGCTTCTTCATCTTCTTGTTTCTTCTGGAACCAACAATCCTTTTGGGAGTGATTTGGGTTCCTGCACCTTTGGCACTTGAACTTGCAAAATTTTCCCGTGTGTTCTGTCTTCTTACAGATAATGCAGTACCTGTTGTAGTTGTCGTCGGATCTTCCTCTACGGTCTTGCTCCGGCTTGGTAGTCTTGGCTAGGGATGGGCATACGGTTCGGTAAACCCGAACCGAACCAGACTGAAACCGAACTCTACCGAACCGAAACCGAAATACTACTATTCGGTTCGGAAATCGGAAGGGAAATCTGGATAGTTCGGAAAACAGGGTCCTTTCGAGCGAACCGAGATTCCGAAATTCCGACCGAAAAACCGAAATATACTAAATAAGCCCAACACCCATCCATATTCCCCAACACCCTAAGCCCAAATGAAACCCACTGAGCCGAAAAGAAACCTAACCCACTAAGCCCAACCAAAACCCTAACTCCTACAGCCCACAACCCTCTCCCCTTTCCCCTCTAGCCTCTGACTCAACCCTCGCCTCTCACCTTCTCAGCAACTACCGTCCGCCAGCCAACCTTCTCCAACCACCACAAAACTTCGCTTCATCAAATCCAGTGACCAGTGGTGGCCTGAGCGGCCATCTCCGACCTACCTCCCTTCAATCGCTTTGCCAACAACAAGTGAAGAAGACACTCTGAGTCTTGGTTTTGCATGCGGCAGGAATTGTGCAGGCCTGGAGTGTTCTGGGTCTGATAGGTAGAGGATGATGGTCAAGATTGGGGGAATCGGGGAGAAGAGACTATGGTCTTCGGTCGAGTTGGGGGAATAGCAGAGTCGGGGAGTCGGGGAGAAGAGACGATGTTCGTCGGTCAAGTTGGGGGATTCTGGGAGAGAGGGAGAGGAGAGGATGATCGAGTTGAGAGTTGGGGGGAGTCGGAGATCGAGGGAGAGGGAGATGTGACGCTTGTAGAGTAAGAGTTGGGGGGAGTCGGAGATCGAGGGAGAGACTGGAGATGGAAGTCGGAGATCGAGGGTTTGAGGAAGAGAGCGGAGATAAGGTTGTGAAAGGAGGGGAAGGATAATGTGTGGCGGAGATTTTCTTTGGGGAGATAAGGTTGGTTGGTTCTCGAATTTCGGGTTTGGCCCTTGAAACTGGACCGAACCAATCTATAATTCGGTTCGGGTGAACCGAACCGAATTATAGCTCGGTTTGAATTCGGTTGGAATGTATGTAATTTCGTAAATTCGGCATGTACCAGTTCAGTTCAGTTCAAACCAAACCGACCGAACGCCCACCCCTAGTCTTAGCTTCGGCCATGTTGACTGAAAAACTTGCTCCAGTGGTTGATAGGTAAATTTCCTCATCCTCTGCTCATGAGCGACGAGTGAACCCATCAATTCAGTCATTGATAATTTAGAAAAATCTTTTGTTTCCTCAATGACCGCCACGATATGCTCAAATTTTGGAGATAAACTGCGGAGAATTCTCTCCACAATCTTCCTTTCTTCCATGATGTCACCAGTTGCTTTGATCTAGTTGACTATCTCTGTTGTACGAGAATGAAAGTCTTTGATACTTTCAGTCTCCTTCATCGACAAGTTGTCGAAATCACGCCATAAATTTTGGCGTTTGATGGAGATTGCCCGATGGTTGCCTTGAAATTCATTATGCAAAACTTCCCACGCCTTTTTAGCATTTCTAATGCCAAAAATTCGAGGATATATAGCCTTGCTGACCGCCTGTTGTATTATTCGTAGGGCGTTGGCGTTCCTCCGGACATTCACTTGTATTTCTTGAACTTTGCTTCTGACATTTGGACGATTTCCCACAAGTCTTGAGCAATGAAGATTGTCTCCATTTGTTCGCTCCAGTACTCGTAGAGTTCACCCTCGAATATGGGGATCTGACTGGGGGTATTTACGAACATTGTGTTTGCCTAGACTGCTGCCATGATTTTTGGATTTTTTTGTAGGATATATGAGGCTGGTTTGGAAGGATAGGAAAGTAGTATCGACTTTGATACCAAATTTGTTGGGCACAACGGAAATATGGTGGTATTTTAGGATCGACAATATCGAAAGAAATTATTTCACTCCAATATTTAAAAGAGCAATCTCTCATAACTCCGACAATTCTTGTCGTTTACATTAAGAGCTGCGGCTCTTATACTATTGCTCTACTTCTACCCTCACAAACACTCAGCCCATATATTTTCCCACATTTTGGATTAGGCAATTTTATTGACTTAACCTTTGAGAGGAGTCCATGCTCTCTAGCTCACTCTACCTTACATGCCTCAATGAGGCTTTCTATTTATAATGTCACCCCAAGGTCTTCATCGCCATAAGTAGGGGTGGAAATCGGTATGGTATCGGTATCCCAATACCAAATACCGAAATCCCAAATACTTAATTACACTCGAAAGTCAATCCCAATCCCTAAATGATTTCGGTATCCCAATCCATAAATATTCCGGTATCCCAATCGGTACTTCGGTATCCCAATCGGTATTATCGAATACCAACTTAATTATATTTGAAATAAATAATTAAATATATAAGTTAGATTTGATTGTTTAATTTAGAGCAAAGAGACTAATCGAAGAGTCTTGAGTTTGCATATAGCTAGGATATGGATAAGGAGAATGAAGAAGAGGTGACATCTCAAGTTCTTGTCATGGGTAATCTTTAATTTGACGAATTGGAGGCTGAGAGACCACTAATCCTAGTGTTTGCTTTTTGGGGCTATGAAAATAATAAGTGATTAGGTGAGAGATGAGAGTGACTTAAATTGGAAAGTCATAATTGAGTTGGATGGGGACTTCTGAGTTGTAAAACTAAGATGGAATGATCTATGTATAATTAAATGACACTCTTGGTGGTTGAGGGTCGTGTAGTAGTGAATGAGAGAGTCTAGTTGATAGGATAAAATATACACTAGCTTATATTTCGGTATTGATCGGTATTTGGTATATACCGATCCCAATCTCGTAATCCCTATACCGAATTGCAATTGAAATTCAATCCCAATCTCAATCCAAAGAAATAATACATGTATTCAGTAATACCAAATATAGACAAATTCGGTACGGTATTTGACACGCTATGACACAACACCTAACAATGGCCAAGTGTAACCAATGGAAGTGACTGCAGTATAGTGGCTCAAGTAATAAATATCGAATCCACAGGTCTCTATAGTTACTATTACTCAGCTTCAGTTCATTATTTAGCAAACCAAATTAATAAGGAAGAACTAAAACTACTCTAGCAAACTACAGTTAAAGTTAATCTAATTACAGGTTGGGAACTCACTTAGGTATGGTTCCCCCTAGCCACTAGCCAGATTAATGATTGATGATCTCTAACCTGTTTCACTTTCATCTTGAGTCTCGACTAAAGGAACAAGGCCCTCTTGAGTCAATTTCCTAGAGGGACGTATCCTTCTCTAGAACAACCGATCAAGGCGTTCTGAACTAGACTCCCTCTATCGAAAGAGCTTCTCAATCGATACAAAGTAGCGAATCGAACTTCGACTCAAGAAATCGATCCAATACTATCAATCTATGGTGCTCTATTGACCTAATCAGGTATTCGCTCTCATAGGATCAAAGCAGAATCAATAATCTCGACTAAAGCAGAATTGAATCATGAAAACGTGCATAGATTGAATATGAACTCAAGATTATCAAGTAGGAGTACTCATACAATCATCCAATCAAACAAACATAGCTAGGGTTCCTCAAAACCTAAGTGAAGGGAAGTTACTCCATAGAGAAGAGAGAGACTGCAGTAAGAATCTTCAGATGATCAGTCTTCAAGTCCGGGCTTGTTCCTCGAGCTTCCTAGGCAAAGAAATCCTCCAATTCCACTCCAAGAATGCCCTCAAATCGCCCTCTCTCTCTTTGGTTCGTCCCTTGGGTGTTTGGGATCCAAAACCCAGCTTTCTCTCTTTCCTTTGGCTTCAATCTGCCTCAAAAACCCGATTCTGGGCAAAACACGGTCGAGGCAAACAGTTCAATGGGTGGAAGTTTTACTTGTACTAGAGACAGCTTAGCTTCACCTTGTAGGAGTACCCCACTAAGGATCACTAAAATCTCTTCCAAAACTCGATTTTGTGCAATGAACGGTGCCACACACGTTGGGCTTACCCCATGTTTAAGATTTAATGATTTCGACATGGAGGACCAACTGCTTTTCATTTTTCACATGAGCACCCTGTTCGATACACGAGTTCATAACACAATCCAAATAGAGTCACCATTACCACATGAATTCAACGGTCTTAGCTCCACTAATTCACAAAATCAACTGGCACAACAGAGAGCTAGATAGGAAAAATCTTATACTTCAACATCCTCCATAGTGCTACACTACCTCCCTAGGTTGCACATTACTATAGAGACTGTCAATTCAAAGCATACTGAGCAGGCAATTTGCAAGGAAACACGTACTTGGAGCCCTCAAATTTAAAAATTTGGACAGTGGACTAGGCTCCAAGCACACAAATAGCCAAACATTCACCCGCCTACATAATCGAACATCCCCCCACACTTAAGCACGACATTGTCCTCAATGGAGGAAAGATAAGGAGGATAGAACAAAGTTACCAGATCCAGGGTGAATGATGGTGGACGAGGCAGGCGGTGCATTCCAGGAGGAGAGAGTAGTCGGAACACAAACACCACACAAAATCTCACAAAGGTTGAGTTATTGACTCTAAAATCAAATAACAAAACCGACTCAACTGAGGAGAAAAAGAGAAAGAAATGCAAACCGACTGGTTGGGTTTCCTTCCAACAAGCGCTTCTTTCACGTCGAGAGTCGGACGATGGCTCCTAAGTTTCAGTCCACCCCAAAACCTCCTTAAAGTTGAGGTTCTCGTCGATGAGGTGGAGTCTCAAGTCACGAACATGTGGTATGACAGGCGATGGAAGCTCGTGCACTTGATGCAGATAACGTCTCAACCCTCGAGACCTCTTCTTCTCTTCTCTCGTCTCATTGCCCCAAACCAGATATGACAACATCAATTGACCACCATCGTGTCCACCAAGAGAGACCAATGTCGAAGTGGCCTTGGTCTGGCAAAGAGACACTGCAAATGGGTCCTTGCTAAGTATTTCCTCAAAGTTTGGTGGAGATATCACATGTAACTCATGGCCGGTGCATGCCTCTTCCACCTCAACTCCGTCCTCAGCCTGGACGCCAATTGCTTCTTCAAACTCCCTTCCTTCTTGATGTGGTATCACCCCTGGGAAATGATCAAGAACTCCTTCTAATTCACTTTTGTCATCCTCCACAACTTCTTTCTGCACCCTTTCTCTCTCTTCTTCTTCTAGCACGGATTGGAGAGCAAGTTGCCAAGCAATTTCTTTCATGAGATCTTCTTGCATCTCCTCACTCATGCACACCTCTTCAAAGCTCAGTTTGGGGTGTGGGAAGGTGTGATCGGCTACGACAGGACATTCCTGATCATGATCATCACGGGAGCTCTCCGTGACAACTTCAGTGTGCTCCACAATGTCCTTGTGGCCTTCTTCTTCCTCCGCTTCTTCTAGTATGGTAGCAGAAGGGTGATCTGGAGCAGGTTGTGCATAAGATCGCTCAAGATCATCGACGCTCTTCTTAATGCTCAGGAGGATCTCCTCTGTTTCACGATAGGCCTGGGTACAAAGATCCATCCTGGACCATGATCTCTCACTGTCTCGAGCAAACTGCTCCATGAGAAGCCTCAATTTATAGTTTGGATCTGGCTTTGGAGTGTAGCATGGCTCTGCAGAATGGCTCGTGAAGGCCGCCATGGGTAACTCCAGCGCCGATGGTCCTTCTTGTTGTGGGAAAAAGTCTTATTGGTAATGAGGTTGTTCTTGATATGCCCAGGGGTCTGATTGTTCTCCGTAGTAAGGGGATTGGTACTGGAACCCGAATCCATAGTCTTCTCCTCCTTGATTGCTCCAGGGAGTCTCGGGGTAATACCACTCGGACGATGGTGGATACCCCCAATGGTTGGAGAAGCCTTGAGGATCCATGATTCAGATACGCACCAACAAAAACAAAGACACCCAAGTGAAAAGCAAGGGTGGAAAAGAAAAGAAAAATTCTAAAGTAACAAACTTCTGCCTTTCCTAATAATCTAGAAAGTCCCCGGCAACGGCGCCAAAAACTTGACACGCTATGACACAACTCCTAACAATGGCCAAGTGTAACCAATGGAAGGGACTGCAGTATAGTGGCTCAAGTAATAAATATTGAATCCACGGGTCTCTAGAGTTACTATTACTCAGCTTCAGTTTATTATTTAGCAAACCAGATTAATAAGGAAGAACTAAAACTACTCTAGCAAACTATAGTTAAAGTTAATCTAATTACAGGTTGGGAACTCACTTAGATATGGTTCCCCCTAGCCACTAGCCAGATTAATGATTGATGATCTCTAACCTGTTTCACTTTCATTCACAATGCGGAGAATCCTTAACTAGACCTTGAGTCTCGACTAAAGGAACAAGGCCCTCTTGAGTCAATTGCCTAGAGGGACGTATCCTTCTCTAGAACAACCGATCAAGGCGTTCTGAACTAGACTCCCTCTATCGAAAGAGGTTCTCAATCGATACAAAGCAGTGAATCGACCCTCGACTAAAGCAATCGATCCAATACTATCAATCTATGGTGCTCTATTGACCTAATCAGGTATTCGCTCTCATAGGATCAAAGTAGAATCAATAATCTCGACTAAAGCAGAATTGAATCATGAAAACGTGCATAGATTAAAAATGAACTCAAGATTATCAAGTAGGAGTACTCATACAATCATCCAATCAAACAAACATAGCTAGGGTTCCTCAAAACCTAAGTAAAGGGAAGTTACTCCATAGAGAAGAGAGAGACTGCAGTAAGAATCTTCAGATGATCAGTCTTCAAGTTCGGGCTTGTTCCTAGAGCTTCCTAGGCGAAGAAATCCTCCAGTTCCACTCCAATAATGCCCTCAAATCGCCCTCTCTCTCTTTGGTTCGTCCCTTGGGTGTTTTGGATCCAAAACCCAGCTCTCTCTTTCCTTTGGCTTCAATCTGCCTCAAAAACCCGATTCTGGGCAAAACACGGTTGAGGACACGGCCGTGTTTTACTTTTTCCCGCCCGTGTTTTGCCCCCAGCAGCCTTTGTCGGCCAAAACACGGTCGTGCCTAAATATGGACACGACCGTGTTTTTCTTTAGGTCAGCCCGTGTTTTTACTGCCGAACCTGTTCCCCTATATTCAATGCTTCATTTCTCCCTCGTCCGGACTCCGAATCAGTCGCCGTTTGATCCCAGACGCTCGTAGTCTACTCCTCTTTCTTTTCATGACAAGATTGCATGATTATTTTTCTATAAAGTCAGGTAGAAATTCATTCTTCTTCAGGTCATGCCCGAGTTTCTTCTCCCTAATCGCCAATTGATCTCTGATTGACTTGAAACTTGCGCCTATGCTTCACTTTATGTGCGAGGACCTGAAATGTGATAAAGGAACACAATCTAGCGTAAAATAGGCCAAAGACGCGATAATTAAAGCTCAAACAGTCAAGAAACAAAGGGGAAAACATGTGCAAATATCGAGTCATTAGTATTTGGTATATCTCAAATACCAGTACCAAACTTCCAGCCCTAGCCATAAGGAAAGCTCTTAACACAATAATGAATTAAGTGGGTAGCTTTGACATGTGGTTGTGTTTAGGCCAAACTAGCTGGCGGGTAGAGTAGGGTATTTCTAGTTTTATTATTACAAGTAGTTGGGTAGTTGGCTGCTGCATTTAGAGTTTTGTAGAATTATTGAGATAATTGTAGAATTGTGGATTAGGTATTTTGACACTCCCTCTTAATCTGCAATTCATGGTTGTGAATTTTAATCACCCTTGACGCACGAGAGTGAAATATGATCGATCTCTTCCTCTTGAGTGAAGTTTGCTTCTTCATCTTCTTGATCATCTTCTTGTTTCTTTTGGAACCAACAATCCTTTTGGGAGTGATTTGGGTTCCTGCACCTTTGCCACTTGAACTTGCAAAATTTTCCCGTGTGTCCTGTCTTCTGACAGATAATGCAGTATCTGTTGTAGTTGTCGTTAGATCTTCCTCTACGGTCTTGCTCTGGCTTGGTAGTCTTGGCTTCGGCCATGTTGATTGTTGACTGAAAAACTTGCTCCAGTGGTTGATCGGTAAATTTCCTCATCCTCTGCTCATGAGCGACGAGTGAACCCATCAATTCAGTCATTGGTAATTTAGACAAATCTTTTGTTTCCTCAATGACCGCCACGATATGCTCAAATTTTGGAGATAAACTGCGGAGAATTCTCTCCACAATCTTCCTTTCTTCCATGATGTCACCAGTTGCTTTGATCTGGTCGACTATCTCTGTTGTACGAGAATGAAAGTCTTTGATACTTTCAGTCTCCTTCATCGACAAGTGGTCGAAATCACGCCATAAATTTTGGCATTTGATGGAGATTGCCCGATGGTTGCCTTGAAATTCATTATGCAAAACTTCCCACGCCTTTTTAGCATTTCTAATGCCAAAAATTCGAGGATATATAGCCTTGCTGACCGCCTGTTGAATTATTCGTAGGGCGTTGGCGTTCCTCCGGACATTCACCTTGTATTGCTTGAACTTTGCTTCTGACATTTTGCAAGATTCTTCCTCCGTCTTAACTTCGTCATAACCTTCTTGGACGATTTCCCACAAGTCTTGAGCAATGAAGATTGTCTCCATTTGTTCGCTCCAGTACTCGTAGAGTTCACCCTCGAATATGGGAATCTGACTGGGGGTATTTACGAACATTGTGTTCGCCTAGACTGCTGCCATGATTTTGGATTTTTTGTAGGATATATGAGGCTTGTTTGGAAGGATAGAAAAGTAGTATCGGCTCTGATACCAAATTTGTTGGGGGCACAACGGAAATATGGTGGTATTTTAGGATCGACAATATCGGAAGAAATTATTTCACTCCAATATTTAACAGAACAATCTCTCATAAGTCCGACAATTCTTGCCATTTACATTAAGAGTTGCAGCTCTTATACTATTGCTCTGCTTCTACCCTCACAAACATTCAGCCCATACATTTTCCACATTTTGGATTAGGTAAATTTATTTCCTTAACTTTTGAGAGGAGCCTATGCTCTCTAGCTCACTCTGCCTTACATGCCTCAATGAGGCTTTCTATTTATAATGGCATCCCAAGGTCTCCACCGCCATAAGGAAAGCTCTAGACACAATAATGAATTAAGTGGGTAGCTTTGACATGTGGTTGTGTTTAGGCCAAGCTAGCAGGCGGGTAGAGTAGGGTATTTCTAGTTTAATTATTAAAGGTACTTGGGTAGTTTGCTGCTGCATTTAGACTTTTGTAGAATTATTGAGATAATTGTATAATTGTGGATTATGTATTTTGACAGCTTAAACCTACTGCCATAGCGCCAAAGTGGGGAAATGCGGGGGGGGGGGGGGGGGGGGGGGTTGGATTTGAGAGAGAGCAGATACTGTCTCTGCAATGTTGGGGGGAAACTATCGTTAACTGTCCTCGTCCCTGTGGGAATTATACTCAGGCCCTCGTAATGGAGAGAGAAAGAAAGTGGGGAGGGTGGGCGGTTAGGGTTCTTACCAAATGACAGAGAAGGAGGAGGAGGTCGTTTACTATTATTATTTGTTTATCATTATTTATTGGCAAAATATATTTTTATAGATATAATTATTCATGTTAATAGTCATTTTTAAAAAATACACAAATATAGCCACATTTTGAAACTAGCTTGACAAATTTAGCTATTCGTTAAAAATTTTAACCTCGCCATCGATCCCATTAGTAATGTGAACGTTATGCTGAAACTAATAGGTCGGAGCTCTGCGAGGTTCGTCTCTTCCCTAATCTCCACCAGTGCAGTTGGCCGTTCCAAATCCTCCTTGCCGCCGGAGACAACACATCCCCTCCCCACTCGATTCCGCTATGATGATGCAAAAATCCACGAGTAGATTTGGTACTCAGCTCCTCTCCGACAGGAAGCGGGTGAGGCTGGTGCTCTGCCTCGCCGCCTGGCGCCTGCGAATTTGTTGGGGAACAAATCCATGGCCATGCCCGCCGGGAGAAGGAGGGAGCGGACTGGGTGAGTTAGGGTAGTTGATTCGTCGCTGCGGATGTTGGTTGGCCACGCTTCGGGTCGCGACGGAGCTGGTGGGGCGGCCAGAGGATTGGCAACAGAGAGAAGAAGAAGAGGAAGCGTCTACAGGGCAAGAATCAGTGGGCAGTGGCTGGTTTGTGGCTGAGAGAATTTAGGAGGAAGGAGAAGGTGAAGAATGCTACTCTCTTTCCTTCTTATGTTATGCACTTTTTTTCAATAAATGAAGTTTGAAACAAATTCCACCCTGACATTCCACTTAGATGAGACATGGTCTCGTCACAAGCTACCGTTTTTTCCAGTAAGCAATTGTGGCAGAACCGTTAAGTTTATAGGCAAAATGGCTATATCTGTGTACTTTTCATAAAATGGCTACTATTGTTACAACGCAAATAGTTATAGCTATAGAAGTGTATTTTGCCTTATTTATTTGCTTCCTCTTTTAGGTTAGCCGGTTAAGGCTTGTTACCAACTGAGATATGGGCTTCATATTTATCGGGTTAGGCCCATATCGACCAAGTATCCGCCTAGGATCCTACTCGTTACTCGAGTGTTTCGGGAATTTCTCAAAGTACACACGTTATTATAAAAAAAATCTTCGTATATAATAGTTCTCTAATATATTATCAAACTTTTGGTACAAATTATTTTAAACTAAAGCAATTTGTAAAAATCACTTGAAATATGACAAATCAATGACAGATCGTGTGAGACTTTAGCAATTTGCAACATATCGCACAAAGATTGTTTGAGACTTCAGCGATATGTGACAGATTGTTTGAGACCTTAGCCATCAATATGTTATCTATGGGAAAAAAATCAATCGGCGGTAACATTGTACTCGGTTATCTTATCAGCGTAAAAAAAATTATATTTTATAACTTTATCGAGATTTACGCAAATGCAACAATCCAAAGTGGTTTGTTCGACTTTCATCTCCAAATAAGGTCATTTGTTGCCTCAAATAAGTCATTTTGTGATTTCACGTTACTTTTGGACGGTGTTAACTTAGTGATCCCCCCTAGTTCGTCGTTAGGTCGATGTTGTTTACTTCCCTAGACCAATTGACTAGATACTTTTATTGCAGAGAGTCGTAGAGTAGTTTTGAATCTCGACTAAAGCAAACCAAGCCCTCTTAACATAGGCTACTCGGCGAGAGGCTTAGTATAAATAATAAACAATAAATATAGGGTATTGAAGGTTTGTTAGTCAAACCTTTTTTAGATGATTTTTTATTAGTCAAACCTGTCAAAATACTAAAAATTAGCCAAATATTTTGTTACACGTCCAAGTAATAGCCATTAATCCGTTACCGTTAACTATTTTTAACGGTGCTCCACCTCAACTGCCACCTCATCAATGAATAAAATAAAATTGGGTAAACACTCATTATTAGCCAAAGCTTTCTGGCATTCTTTTTTATTAGCCAAACCTATTGAATTACTAATAATTGACCAAATCTTTTGCAATGCATCAAAATATTAGCCATCTATACGGTATCATTAATAATTTTGTACCTCTTTTCATAATTAAAATACTAAAATTTTGGAATGTTGACTTCCATATGACTCTTCCAAGCCAGTATCATGCTGCCAATTCAATATTGCCTCATTTTGAATCAATCTGACCAAATTGATCCATTTGACAGCATAAAATTTAGATGAAGCAATTATGTCTGGGAATTTTAAATTGACTTGTTTTGAGGCTATTATAATTGTCTGGGGTGGGGCAGACAATTCGAATTGACTCGCTTTGTAAAATGAGATAATTAACCAAATTGTCTTGTTTTTTAATTTATTCATCCAAATGACCCCTAATAACTCTTTTGGACAAAATTTAAAAATAAATTCTTTGATACCGTTGTCACCTTTAAGAGCTATGAAACTAATTAATAATTTGCAAAACTTCTTTCCTAGCAATGTCACTACTGGCGCACTTACAAAAAAATTTCATTTAAATTATTCTTGATGAAAATCAATAAGGTGTTTTGCTATACAACAGGTACGAAGTAATGATCTTTCCTATCACAAGGCAACGCACATTTTCAATACAATATATTTTTTAAGATAATATGAGAGAAGTGTTCATCTTATTCCTCTTATTCATTTGTACAATGGAGTCCTCTATTTATAAGTACATATACACCATCCTTACAATTTCCTCTATTATTGCACATGAATGTGAGGTAATGAATCATATAGATAATTCATTCTCATGATCAATGTAGGGAGGTAAATAGCTTCTAATATAGCATTCAATATAAAATACAATGTGGCATCCAATAGACATCCACTGGGGTGTAAGGTTGGTCCGAAAAACCCACTAACCCGCCCGATCATGTGGGTCGGGCTGAGTCAGTTTGTGTACAATATCAATTTAAGGTCGAGTAGGGTCGGTTCAACTTAGATTCGGGTCACTTTTTGACCTTTTGACCTTGTGACTCATACTAACACATTGGACTTGTTTTTAAAGTTTAGGTACTATAATGCAAGATAAAAAAATATAAAACTTCTTAAACATAATTTTACCACTGAATTTTCTCGACTTATTTGTAAAAAAATAAAATTTAAATTATAAGAAAAAATCAGCACCAAAATATAATTTTTAAAATTTAATATGTTAATTTGAGCCAACCCACTAATCTAATCTGCCCTGATCTGAGAAAGTCAAATATGGTCAAAAAGAAAATATAGACGAAACGAGTTAGTTATATAAGTTGATCCTTTAAAAAATGGATTAGAGAAAATCTAAGACAAAGACCAATTTTCAGCCTAACATTCACAACACAATACACATTAGTGTTAGTCCGTAAAATACTATCTTATTATTTTGTTAGATTTGCTTATTTTTAATGCAACTGAAGAAAAACATTGACGTTTTTTATTTGGAAAACCACAACATAGATTTTGCTCTGACCACTGGCCGGATAAATACCACACAAAACAGAGAACGGGCGAAGTCATTTGACGCAGAAGCCCTTCTTAAACCCTTGTGCCCTCAGGGTTCCTATCTTCTCTGTTTTCCCTCCTTTCTGCTGTCCGTCGGCCATGGAATCCGGTTGAAGAAAAAGAAGCTCCAACCAATTATCAGCCAAAGAAAGACAAAAGAGAGATGCGCCGTCTTGCTCATTCCAATCGTTATAAAAAACTAGCCTTCTTATCTTCTTCTTCCTCCTCCTCCTCGGCCTCAACTGTTGCTTTTTCTGCCATATCTCGCATGGGCTCCAAATTCTCGCCCAACCCCGCCACAGCTTCCGTCCCTCTCTTCCAACCTCTTCCTTCTCCATTTTCTTCCAGTACAAATCTATGCCGCGCCGGGAAGCGCTTGCTCCCAGTGCTATGTTCGAAACCCACTTCTAGAATCAATTCTCGTTCCCTCTACACCAATGGGCATGCGACTCTTCCGATTCCCAAACCAGGTAATCCCTCCCTACCCTTCCTGGAGTCGCTTGATGTAAATAATTTTCTTTTAGGATATGTCTTAAAATTTTGCGTTTTCAGTTTCAGCTGATTTGGCGGTGGGCGGGGGCTGGAAGAGCGACGCCTTGCGCCATCAATTGGCGGAGTGTGGACTTGAAGTGGATGACTTATCCCCCGGTCAGCATAGCGGCTTATTGTGTCCAAAGGTGAGCTTCTAGCTCCTCTAACAAATGGGAATGTCAGCTTATATTTCACTAGTTTCTTAATTTTCAATGGTTTAAGAGTCCTCAGTAATCAGTAATCAGTATTGTTCATTGCTTTTTAGTTATGTCGCCTGACAAGAATAATTGGCCAAGTCTGGAACTTTAAGCTTTAACTTCTTAGTGTTTAGGGATTGTTCCTATTGTGATAAGATCGCGTTTGGTTTGCTATTAGATGAAATTTCTAAAGTGTATCTGTTAATCTAGCCTGAAATAAGAGGCTTCATTGTCATTTCCCCATCTAGTTACCTATTACACTTAAACGTTGAACTGGAAGTTTGAAAATTGGAGCGGATCCACCAATTAAGATTTGGTAAATTTCTGATGTTTTCTGGTTGTGACTCA